TCTCGATCAGGCGAGCAATTATTTTCAAGAGAAAAACGAAGTGAAAAGTCAAAGAGAAGACGCAGATAGCTGCCACGGAAAAAAACGAACAGCGAACGTATCGCTGACCAATTATTCCTTATGATGAATCAAAATATTTAAAAGCGATCTAAATATAATAATATAAAATTTGTGATAGACAAACGTATTTTTATTGTTTATATTTAAATTGTTTTATATAAAATAAATATCGGTATGCCTCTTCTTAGTTATTATAGATAACATCTTCTGACGCATTTCTTTATTATATAAAAATTTACTTTGAATATATTATAAAGTTATATATATATATATAATGTTAAATAAAGGCTTGTTATATGCAATTTGAAGTGATATAAATGTAAATTAAATACAGGAGATTCTCAGATTAAATTTACCACTGAATTTCAAATATGAATTTAGAACCTTGAAACAAACAAAATTTTCCTCTGGAAGTTATTTGCAAAAGCTTCATTTAAAGTGTATCGACTTTTCAAGATACAGAATTATAGGAATGAATAATATCAAAATAACGAAAAATCGTAAAGCTTAGTAGAGGCATACAAGATTCGATTATTTTAATATAAAATATTTTCGATACAAATATATATCAATACATATATATCAACAAATATATATGTATGCAAATATCATATATCAACAAATATATATGTATACAAATGTATACATATATTGCAAAAAACAATATTTTCAATAGTTGAAAATATTCTACTGTTTTGTTTGTGTATCTTTCTATTATATTCGTGTAATACTATTAATCTTATTAATTAATATTATTAAATATCAACTATTCGTGTAATATATTGTTTGCCTTGCAAGAACTTGACATTACCATGAACTGTAGTAAGATTAACACGTACGTAGTAATATTACCGACAATCTAAAAAGAAAGTATGACAGAGTAAGTAACATATATTTAATTCATGAAGACAAGCATCAGTTACTTACCGCAACAAGAAGAGTCGCGTCCATATTGACACCCTTTGCTGAAAATATACTTTCGCGATGCAATATTTGCAAAGAAAACAGTTGCAACTGCAATATTAGAGCACAGAGTTAAATATTAAATGGAATAATTATGACTTAAGTAGACTTAATATACAAACAAACTGTATTAGTACGCAAAAGTTTTTATACACTGAGAAGAAAAGTGCTGTATCAAAAAAATATTAGTTGATTCAACTAAATGCAGCAATCACGAGCTGTCAAATGAATATTTGTTAATTCAAACAAATCACGGAAGAAACGGCTATGGTTGCCACGACTAAAAGTCGCTCATCAATACATTTTTTGGTTATAAGATTTATAGTACAATTGTGACAACCGTAAGATCAGTACGTCTTAACGGTTATGACTATTAGGATATGATAATTTTACGATTATCATAACTAATATTGGTGATCAAAAATTATCGTTATTTCTGGTTGTGGCGACCGTAGCGTTTTATTCGGGATAACATGTTTTAAGTTACAAGATTTTGTTAACCTAAATGTATAAATACTCAAACTAAATGATCATTATGAATTAAATGCATTTAATCAAGTTAACAACTTTTTTTATCAATGTATATTTACTAATTAAATTACATTACCTCGTCTTTCACGTTTTCATCATTAACGTTGTTAAATACAATATGAACAGTGGTGCCGATTTCAAGAGCTTGATTCTTGCCAGTCTCGCAGGCCCATATCATCGAAGCCATTTTTAAAAATTGATATATTATAGATATCAGGAAATACCAGAACCAAAAATCTTTATACATTTTGTTCATAAAGTCTTCATTATCATTGCGTAATGTAGAAACGCACCACTGCGTAATGTAGAAATACAGGTTGAAAGTAACTTCGCAAATAGTTAGAATTATCGAAGAGAGAAGCTGCAAACTGAAAATCAAATTCAACATCTGCACTGTGTTGTTGATCATTAGATATTGCTTTTCTAGAGCTTTGAGTTCCATCAGTAGGAATGGATTTCCTTGTTGATATATCCGGCTAAATAGATGCGGCATATCCTCCATCACGGGTTCCCGAAGATTCGCAAGATTATCGTTGATTCTCTTAAAACAAGCTTTTAATATACAAACACAATTCATGTATAACATATCCATCTGAAATACCACTAAGCTGAGGTATATTGTATATAACTGGAGTTTAAGATCAAAGTTCAGCTTTTTGTAACATATCATTATTAACACGAAAAAGGAAAAAAAACTAAAGATATCTTTCATGTGGATCAGTTTGGACAATTTCTTATATGTCTTCGAAGGCAGTTGTGAAGAGATATCCATTATTGTTTGCAGCAATCGCATTCGTGGACTGCTCAAGACGTGCGTGACGATCGTTATAAAACTGCTAAATAAATAGTAGCAATTACCGTGAAGAGCTGTAGGTACATCTGAAATATACATCCTTCCATAAATGAGCCAACGGAAAAGCATGAATTGCATATAGCAAATCATGCAGATAATGATAATTGACACAACGCAATGCGATTTGGACAGCTTGAAGATCGAAGCATTCATCTTGTATGGAAATATTCCAAGAATGCGGCAAAAGATGAAGCACGGATACATTAGGGATTGAAAGTCCGTGGCTTGAAAAAGCTGCCATTTCTTCAATACTTGTCTTTGGAATTTTGATAACAAATCGAGCATGATCAGCAGAATGTTATGGGAGTATAAACATCTCAGTCTTAAAAAATAGAAATTATTAATTATATTGTCAATGCACTGCAGTATTAATATATGATTGCAACAATTTCTTTTTCAAATATAATTATTAAGTTTGTTTCTTCTCATTGAATACGTATACTAGATTGTTCGTCCTATTTACACGCAACAAATTTAAGTTTAAAACTGCAAATAATTGCTATTTCAAACGAGACAAGACTAAAGGGATACCTTGTTGGACGTCAAGTAACCATGGTGTTCTTCGATCGGCAATTGTACCTTTGGGATACAGAGTGCAAAATAATGATATATAATTGTTATGACAACCCATCAAATTACGTATGCAAACACGAAACAGATAGTATCAACTACTCAATACCCACATAGACGAATAACTCTCTAAGATATATTAATTTCCTGTTCTTCCTTTGACATTATCCTAAAAATCAATATTCTAATTGTGTGTAATAGAATATTTAATATCTTTATGACATAATTTCGGAATTTATTTGTTATCTTTCATACATATATATGTATTTATTAAAAATTTTTATTATACAAATAACGAAAGTACTTAAAGGATTACATACCTTCTCAACTTTCTCACAAAAAAGTAAATTTTTTTAAATCTGAAATTATTCTATATATAGTGTTTAGAATATAGGAAAAAAGTCTTAATGCAATATGAATAAGTTACAAAAACATAATATAATATTATTCACATGAATCTTTTTTGTCAAATCTTAAACTCATTTTTCTCGAAATATTGTTTTTGAAAAGGCTTAGCGCGATAACATTAACGAGTTTCAATCTTTTTTAATAAAACAAGTTTTTACTTGTGTAAAATGCAATTCTCCATGATCTGTCGTCTCGTTAAAAAAATTTTGTATTATAACAATTTTTATAAATATTTAAAAGTCGAAAATTTGTCGACAAAATCGAACTTTTTCTTTTAAATACTACAATAATTTTTTAAATACTTTTTGATTTTTACAAAATTTTGAAATCCGTCAAGTCTTAATGATACAATCATTCTAAGCTTGTAATTTTTCTTATTTTCGTTTGTTTTACAAAATTCTAGAGTATTAAAACCGGAGGGATAATGCCTTGTCGGAGGGTCCCCTTTGGAAAGCAGCCCCAGTAAAAGTCAACCTAAATAAGTCAAAACAATTTAAAAAATATATTTTTTTACACATAATAATCAATAAAACATATCATTTTTGTAAAAGATATCAAATTCATCTCTTATCCTTTCCAAAAAAATCAGTAATTTTTCAGAGTTGAGAAGGTATGTAACATTGATTACATTGGTTATTTCGGTTTTAAATACGTTTACATTCTTATTTTCGATTTAAAAAATGGAAAAAGAATACAAATATATAAAGCAATTTTTAAAATTAATTTTTAAAGTATTAAACATCACGTATGTTAAAAAAATGTTGAGATAACAGATAGTAGACACACTGCTAACCATAGTAGATGGTTTATTTTATTAACCAAAACACCATGGTTACTTCATGACTAACAAATACGTGAGCTGTCTTTCACTATACGATGCAATAATTTTTAGTAGTTTTGAAATTAAACTTGGCAAGTGTAGATAGATAGTGAGAAGTTTATGTTGGTTCATGTATTTACCGCAAACACAATAAATAATAACACTTGCAATACATAGGAATTCGTATAAATGAGTTGCTGCTGAAAAGCGTTTATGACGTAATTAATCATCTGATTAATAATTAATTATCCGATTGATTATAGTTTATGATTTAGTTAGATCATTGTTGTTTAATAATATTTCGACGAACATATTTAATTTGTTAATAATGTTTCAACATTAAAAAATAAAAGTAAAGGAAAAATATGACAGCTATTCCGCGCCATGGATTTCGAATCATTAATGTATCCTTGTTTTGTTTTTTCCCGCATTCTGGGAATATTTCCATACACGATTAATGCTTCAACCGTTAAGATTTGCAAACTATATTCTATCAACCATCATTATTTGCAGTTATAGCATTACCGAAATAATACTTTTTTATGACTTCAATGTTTCTAAAACAACAATGACAAGCATACCCAGGAAACTTGACTTTAACTGTTACCACATTTTCAGCAGTCTTATAACAATCAGCACATTCATTTTGAGTGGACCACGAATGCGTTTACTTCAGAACATATTAGAGATCTCTTTGAAATTGCCTGAGAAATCATATCAGAATTTATCTATGATAATCCATGCTAAGGATATGGATTTGCCTTTGTAGTCGGATACGCATTGAAAATTTATTACATGCGGCAACTGGACATCTTGACCAAAATTCTCAAAGTATACATATATTTCGAGGGTTTACACACGGATATGCTGTACATGAATTGTGTTTGCATATTAAAAGCTTGTTTTAAGCAAGTCAATGACAGTTTGGCGAATCTGGGACACCTCAATGCAAATAGTATACCATACCTAATAGATACCAATCACGAGCAGAGAAATCTATTCCTACTGATGCAACTCCAGATTCTGAAAAAGCAACATATGGCAATTAGCAACACAGTACAGACACTGAACGTAAACTTTTGTTTGCCAGTTCTTACTACGATAGTTAAAACCTTCACTCAAATCACTTTAATCTTGTACTATTACGCATCGCAAGTACAAAAGCACGATGTATCTAAGGGCAATCTAGAAAAACAGAATTATCAAGAACACCTTATTATCGTATCTGTAGCATATTATTTTATAAAGATAGCATTGATAGTATGGGCTTGCGAAACTGGCAAGAACCAAGCTATAGATATTCGTACCACCATTCACGACGTGTTTAACAGCACCAGCGATAAGGAAATAAAATACGAGGTAGATTAGAAAAATTATAATTTAATTCACATATTTTATATATTTTTCTAATTATATCTCATGTATATATTAATACAATTTTCAATCTATTACTTTATCAGATTTGTAACATCATTAAACTCCATATTTAAAAATTTTCTACTGTAGTTACAGTTATTTTCTTTGCAATTAATGGACCGCAAGAATATATTCTCTGCAAAAGGAATTGTTATTAACGCCACGCTTCTTACTAAAGTGAATGATCAATCATTTCCTTTCGTTAGATCAATGTAGATATATTTAACTTTATTTCGTGGTTTTGTGTGTTTAGCTGGTGGGTGGTATTGCGTTGTACATAATCATTCTGGTACAATTTTTGTTAATGTCGAATACTTGTGGCGAACAATCTTAAAATATTTTATAAATAAAATCAATTACCGAAAAGGTGTCTATCTAACATAAAAGATATTTTAATATTAAATATACTTATTATTATTTTAAGTAAAATGTCATTATGAATAGAATCTCTCGAGATGTTTTATGTTTAATGAAAAACATCACAAAATTGATATACTTAATTACATTAGCGTTAAAATTAATATTGAGGAGGTTGGAGAGGTTTAGAGATGGAGGTTTATGGGAGGAGAGCGAAGATGAAGAGAGCGGGAGAGAAAGAGGCGGGGAGAGAGAGGGCGATGGGAGGGAATATTGCGGTATTCTGCGTATGAATAAATAAATAAGTATAATGAGTAATGATTATGATAGAGCTTGCGATGGAAGCGAAGGTCCTTGTGTGTGTGTGTTTGTGTTGCAGCGAGCGTTAGTAATAAATGTTCTTAGTAATAAGCGAAGTCTGATTGTCACGAATATATATTAATTACAGTTGTTTTCTGCAAGATGATTGTATTGTATCTCCAAAGGGAATCAATAAACTGATTTGCCGAATGAATAAATACACTATAATATAATACACTATAATAAAATATTTTTTCATTAAGTATTTTTCTAGTTATAAGGCTCGAAAGTTACAGTACAGTAGGCACTAAAAATTCATTTTTATGTAAAAATGAAAACAAGAAGTAAAATCTCCAATGGCCTTGATCTTGACAAATGTTATCCAGGACATGAATAACATTCAAGATGTTTTAGCCGTCGATCGGACACCTTGGGTAATGCTAATGTCAGCGGTACTATAACATACAAACCTTATAACTTGAAAAGTGCTTCATGAAAAAATATTTTATTATAACGTTTTGGAAAGCTCTCGAGGTGTTCCACAAGAATATGCAATAAAAAATTGGGGGTTCCATTTAAAAAATTCATGTTGACCCTGACCCAATCTTGGTAGTGCCACCTATCCAAAATTCGTTATTTCCCCCAAGAAAACCTACAACTTTCATATAAAATTTTTTCTTGTATCTCTCTTAGTTTCTGAGATATTCGCCTGGGGCGATTAAAATGCCCCACCCTCTCTGTATATTATATATTATATATTATTTATTGTATATTATTAATTATATATGTCTATATGAATCTTAAGTAGCGCCCACTAATTGTAAGTATATAGCACTGTTGCTGATCAAGAATTGAATCGAAAGCACGAATTATTTTTTTCTAGAATGAAGCAGCCACATACTCGTATACATATATGTGTGCGTGCGTGCGTGCGTGCGTGCGTGCGTGCGTGCGTGTGTGTGTGTGTGTGTGTAACAATTAATAGATATATTTTTTACGAACTATTGTACTGAAGATGTCTGATTTAACTTAAATGGGCCAGTATTACAACTGCGCAACAATGATAGGAGTTTTTTATTTAACAATGAGAAATAAAACAGTGTAAGAAATAAAAAATATAAAAACATTTATCTTAATTAGAGCAATATATATTAATATGTATATTCACAAAATGCTACGAGAAAGCAGAAAGCATCCACACAAGTGCATTTGATAACAATTCTACCAAATTGAAAAGAAGTTCTTACAAAGTATCCGACAGTAATATTAAATATGTAAAATGCAAAATATAATATTTTTTTAAATATATTACATAAAACATATATAAATTGTTTATTTCATCTAAAGTAAAAGTTTGCCTTTCTTTTTTTTATATTAAGACATATATTTACTGTAACTTTGTCTTTACTATAAATGAATCTAATAGAAGACTAAAAAATATTTTGATAACGATCACTTGCTTTGTATATAATCTAGATGCACAACACTGTGGATTACATGTCACAGTAAATAATACATCATTACTTTATGCGTGTTCTGGAGGTAATAAGCGAAAAGCCATGGTTACTTCATGACTAACAAATTCCTGAGTCTTCTTTGCTATACGATACAATAATTTTTACTAGTTTTGAAATTAAACTTGACAAGTGTACACGGACTGTAAGAAGTTCACGTGAATTTACGCATTTACCATATAAAGACAACAAAACTTTGAAGAGAAGTTCTTGTAAACACATTGGTGTTAAAAATCATTAATATAACGTAATTAATACTTTTTTAGTTGTAGTTAATGATTTAGGTTATTGTTGTCTTATAATATTTCGCCATGGTTAAGTCACCATTGAAAACCAACTTCGACGGTTTTAAAAGAAAAAGAAATATATGGCAGCTATTTCACGCCATGGATTTTGAATCATTAATATTTCCTTGCATCACTTTTTGCCGCATTTTGGGAATATTTCCATATAAAATTAACGCTTACACTATTAAAACTGATAAGTTATGTTATATCTTATCGATCATTGTTATCTGCGTTATATGTATTTCTGAGGTAGTAACTCTTTATAACCTCGATTTTGAATTCGTCTACAACCATTTCAACAATATAACGTCGGAATCTATTATAAGCACTCCCTCGCTACTTGAACGTAACTGCTTTTACATTTTGGGTGGTTTTGTATCAGTTGCCACATTCCTTTTGAGTGGATCGCGAATGCGTGTACTTCAGGACATACTGGAGATATCTTCGAAATTGCCTCAGAAATCATATCAAAATCTATCTGTACTGATTCATGCCAAGGACATTTTTGGATTCTTTTTAATAATCATACAAATATTGATATATTATAAAGGAAGGTATGGAAAGTATGAAGGGTATGGTATAATACAAGAATATCAATATTTAACCAAGGGTTTGATGCTGTATCTCCATTTGCTGGAATTCGAAATGGACATGCTATATATGAATTGTGTTTGCGTATTGAGAATTTGTTTTAAACAAATCAACGAGAGTCTGAAGTTTTTTAAAAAATTTACGTCGAACGATGAGCCAAGTCTTTTAGAAGTAACTTATCAAAAGCCGAGGAATCCATTTCAACTGTTGCAACTCAAGGGTGTGATAAAGCAGCATCAGACAATTAGCAACATATTAGATGAGTTACAAAAGACATTCAAATGGCAACTTCTTTCTACGGCTGTCCTGACCTTTATTGAAATCACTTTCAACATATACTTTCTCTTCGAACGAATGCAAGGAAAACAGCTGTCTGTAACAAATCTGGAGGAACATTATGATCTCATTGTATTTTCAATAAATTACGGTATAAAAATATTATTGGTAGTATGGGCTTGTGAAACTGGCAAGAATGAAGCCATGAGGATCAAAACCAGCGTTCATGAAGTGATGAACAATACTAGCGACGAAGAAATACAAATCGAGGTAAATTTAAAAATAAGTTAATTTATTAATTTATAAATTAATTTGTATATTTTATATATATTTCTAAGTATAATAATGAGAATTTTATATCCATGTATAATAATGAGAATTTTAATATATTAATTTAATATATGAATTTATGAGATGTATAAGATTTATAGTTACGTCTTTCAATCCTATATTTTATCATTTTTATCTGCAGTTAAAAACATTTTCTTTACAATTAATGCAACGTGATAATATATTCTCTGCAAAGGGACTTATTGTGAACGCTATGCTTCTTACAGAAGTGAGTGATTAATCATTTATACTTTTGTTAAATAAGTAGATAGATATATTTAGTTCAAACAAGCAAAACAAGATTTAAATAGGTATATTTATATTCATTTTGTGATTTTTTGTGTTTTCTTAGATGGCGGATGTCGTTACCACATATATATTAATTCTGATACAATTCATGGCAATAAAGTATACTTGCTAAGTAAACTCTTAAAGATTTTACATATACATATACTATTCAGTTAACAAAAAATATCTAGATCGAACATAAAAGGTATTTTAAATATATATTCATCTATTGCGTGTGAATAGAATATCACTGTGAGTAGAAGGTTTATGCTTATAAAGATATTTGTTTATATGCATATATGCATGTATAAACATTTAAAGGTCTTATATCATGCACATATTTATAACACTGGGCAACAAAATTTGATCTTTAATTTTTTTAATTGTCACATTCATAGCGACATTTGTACGAAATTCAATGATAAATAATTTTGCGGTTCTATAATTACATTTCAATATTCTGCAAACTGGAAGACGTGTATTTTTAGATATATTTTTGGTTACATAATGCATTTTTATTGTAAAATGCTTCTTTCTTTCGTTTAACAAATATCTTGCACAACTGTGTCCTTTTATTAGTCTATTAATATCAAATTCTTTTATTATTAAAATTATGAAAAGTAGAGTAATAGAAGAAAGAGAGATCATTAATCGTTAAGCACCTTTTTGTATTTTTGAAACTTCTATAATGTAAATGTATTTTGCATATTAAAATAATGACGACTCATTTCGAGACACTTTATACTTAATGTTTATTTATAAATATGTAAAAAGGAACAGACATATCTCCTACTATATAAAAGATGTGTGATTTAAGCAGACAATTATATAAGTTTATATGAGTTCATAAATGCATATACAGGAAAGAATTTATAATTTATAGGTCGGTATTACATCTACGTAACTATGTTGGTTGCGTCTGCCTCGAACTCATTTAATAATTAGAAATAAAGTAAAAAAATTAAAAAATATAAAAAGCTTTCGATTTAATTAGAGCTATATATAATAC